GGAGGGCCGGGGTCGGGTCGGGGGCTCGGCGCGGCTCACCGGGTTCTTCATGAGCCGCTCCAGCCGCAGCCGCTGCTCCTCGGCCGCGCTCCGGGGGATGACCAGCGGCTGCGGCTCCTTGCGGGGCCGGGGCGGCCGCGGGGCCGAGGGCGCCGCCATCTGCGGCCTCTGCCGGCAGCGCTGGGCCCGCCCGGCCCCCGCTGATGACGTCCCGGCGGCGACGGGCCGCGGCTCAGGAGCCGAGCCGAGCCGAGCCGAGCCCCGGGCGGGCGGCGGAGCTCTCCTCGCCGCTCAGAGCCGGGGGCCCGCCCGGGCTCTCGTAGGGCCGCCTGCGGGCTCCGGCTCGCCCCCGGGGCCGCGGTGTTTACACACCGGCGCTACAGCGCTGTAGCGTGGACAGTGTAGACGCAGCCCCCAGGCAGCTAATCCCAGAGCTGAGCCATTCTCATAGACCCAGCACCAGCAGGGTTAGAGCAGGCCCGTCCCTGCCACTCGCAGCCCTTTAAGCCATGTCTGGACGCTCAACTGTTCAGCTGGCTCAGAGCCAGTCTAGCCCCCGTGGTCTAAACAACACAATTGTTTAAATGCTGGGACCCTGTCTACAGCTTAGTTCTCACCCTTGCTACCCTCATACAACCTCACCTGTATTGGCAAGGGCAGGGAATGGCAGTAGACACAGCGGAAGAAAGTAAAGAAATACACACATCATGTAAAGTACATGACGGTCTACAGCTGCATTATTATTCGTGCTGTAGGGTGCTTTTTCTTTTTGCTGAGGTTTTGCAAAGCACTGGAGTTTTAATAATGATGATCCTCAGTCATAGAGCACCCTTCACGTCCAAAGCACCTTCCAGATATTATCTCGTTAACCCTCTACAGGGTAAGTAGGATTACCCCCATTGCTCAGCTCTAAGGCACAGAACGTTTACGTGACTTGCCCAAACCTACAACAGGATATGGGGCAGAGCTGGGATTACAACTCAGTTGTTCTTAAGCCCCAGTCCTGTGTTCTAGCTACTAGATCAAACTTCTGACTCTCTTGCTTTCAAAGCTGAGTTTGTTTGATTGGTTTTTATTGTAGCCCAAACAGAGTAACCTTCTACTCTCCTCAAGCAGCAATGCTGACCTGAGTTTTGTCCCCAGAGTCCTGCAAGACATGCCAGAGACAAGTGGCCTCCGTTTACAAAGTAGGTCACATTCTGACTGTGTTTTGTGGCTGCTTGCGGTTGTGCACATCCACTTTGCAGAGGCTCCGGGCTGCAATTCAGTGCGTTTTGCACCAGCATACCTGCCCGTGCCAAATTTCTACCTCGGTGACAATGGAAGCGAGACCGTACTTCCTAGCACCTCCCTGTATTGCTGCTTGCACCATCTGTTCGTGTCACTTCAGTAATTAACTAGCGCTCCATGCGACACATCACAGGCTTTTGTGCACAAACAGTGATAGATGACGGTGGCTTGAGGGAAGCTGCTTCCAAGAACATAGGCAATCTGTATGGGAAAGAAGGCACTGAGGTAGCTCACTGCGTCTGAGCCTGCACCATGCACATCCCCTTTCACAGCCTTTGAAGGCACAAGGCTTTTACCAACAGGGAGATTATAAACCTGAGCAACATTTAGCCACTGCAACAGCTGGAAGTCAAGAACCGGGAGTCAGTGCAGAGCCCGGCTGGGACACAAGCTTCGTATGCAAGCCAAATTCCTTGTCAGTCCGCTGTGTGCTACAGAAATGGCATGACATTCACTCAGGCTGGGTGCATGCCAAAATTAGCTACTAGAGGTCAGGTGCAATGGAAGAGGGGAACATGCCTTTTTGTATTTTACACCAAGATTGGCAGAAGCTGCAGAATCTGGATCCAGATCTCAGATGGCCTAAAGGTGCAAGGGATGTGCAGGGGGAGAGCTTTGGGTCAGCTCTATAAATTTAAGGACCGTTTACAAAATCTGGATCTACTATTGAACCCCTCCAAAAAAGACAGAGGATGTGGAGCTGGCTTTCTGGTTCAGCCCCCTCTATGTTTACACCTTTTTAAACAAAAGTAGCACCTTTTTAGCTCCTCTGAGGCTGATCTAGAGATCACAAAAAGAAAAGGAGTACTTGTGGCACCTTAGAGACTAACCAATTTATTTGAGCATGAGCTTTCGTGAGCTACAGCTTTTATGAGTTGTGTTGGTCTTACAAAACTGATTTTAAAAAGAACGGTGTGAATTTAGTGCGGGCAGAGTTCCTAAATGGCTGACCACACCAGAGCTTGAAGTCTTGACAGCCACAGTCCAGGCAGGAGCAAGTTAACCTGCCCCCAGCTGACTGCCCAGCATGTTGCTGAGGCAGTCCTGTCTCTATGGCTCGGTCAGCCCTTGGGCCTTCAGCTAAGACTGCCAGAAAATGGGCCAGTTAGTGCCAGTTGGGATGGTGGCTCCCGTGATGTGGACACCTGTCCACTGAACGGAAACCAGCTCATTTCCTACAAGCCATGGAATAGTCCGTGGTCCATTTTCAGTCACAAGCAGCCTGGAGATGAAAGTGCTATATACAGTATCATTACTAATCCACTGACACCCAGCCAGTCCCTCTGCATCGCTTGATAGGTGGATGCTCACCGGCCAGTCCAATTGCCCTACGATGCCCTGTTCCTTCATCACTGCAGCTGCAACTTCTACAAAGCTGTAAGTCCAAGATAAACATTTCAATATTGGGAACTACTGCCTGGCTGTCAGCTCATGGTTCTGGGGGCGCTATCCCCTAATGAAGAAAGGTGGAATGTCAACTGGGAGTGTAGAAATAGCTACAAACATGGACCTGGCTAGCTTGTTTGTGTAGATAGTCCAAACTGTGGTTTCCACCTGTAACAACGTACGACCACAAAAAAAATCACAGCCACTTTGCTGGTCATCTAAAGGAGCCCATATATGCAGTATGTGGAAAGAGCAGTGAGCACGGTGTGCCCACAAACCACACGTCCCTAGGAAATTGCCCTAGAGCCAACAGTGCAGTTGGTCCTTGCTTGTTATTTTTAAGATACTCGTTGGAGGCAAGACCATTGTCAGGGTTGTGCAAAAATAGCAAATATTCTTTTGTGAAATTAAAAAAAAAACCCACATAATGACTCACAGCTTTGTGGTGGGGCCTTGATCAGTTCCAGAATTGTGCTGACTGCAGCCTGACAGGTTTTACATCAGAACAGGAAAACATTTGCATGTTTTAACAGGGAAAAAAAACCCACAACCCTGCTCTTGGTCTAAACAAATGTTTGCATTTGGGAGGCACTTTCTTGAAAATGGGAGCATTCTTGAAAGAAACTGAGTTTGTTATCGCTCTGACATGCTCCTGCATTTGGATGGGGAGGTGGGGCAGAAAGGTCCATTTTTGATATTTGAGCTTTGCAATATCTAAGTGAATGAAATGTGAAAACCTTTGATTTTGAGGGTTCTCAGGTTAATTGTAAATCAGTCTCTGCCCTAATAATCACACACACTACAGCACTTCCGATTTCATCCAGCCGAGGGCAGTGGGGCTCATACAAATAAACCAGTACGCTACGCTATCACTGGCTTGTCTCTTACATTTTTCTACTCCCAGATCTCTCTGTTCCTTACAAATGGACAGAGGTGTCCTTCTCTCAGCTTCCCAGGAATCCTGTAAGAGGACAGAACATTATTTTCCAGCACAACCGACCATTCATTCATTCCTGCTGCAGGAGGTTCCAGTTCACCAACACACCAGGGCATGAATAACTTACTAATACGCAAGAGCACACAATGTAATGGTCCCTGGTGCTTGCCTTAGGGATCCAGCAGTATGAGCTTCCTAGCGCCAAGGATTCCATCCTGCTTTTCCTGAGAGTGTTATTGCTTTACCAGCTGTCTGGGCCTTGACTGAGGAGCTACCCAGAACTGGCCACGGTCCTGTCTGTACTGAAAATGTGGGGTTTTTAATCAACCCAATCACCTGACTTGTTCACAAGAAACAGGGCTGAGCAGCTTTCTTCTGAGACGTACCCAGGTGTCAGCCGGGCTTGGGCCGCGGCCCTCATCGCGCTGCCTAACTGTGCTTGTGCCAGGGCATTCTGGGAAAATCCAGACAGTGCCTCAGCAGCGGGGAGAACGTCGGCGCCAGAGGAGATAGCTGCCAGTAGCACCTAGGGCAGAGCGTTCAGAGATCCTATGGCCGAAAGAGCGGGAGGACCTACCAAGGGGGAACCCGTTACACAGCCAAAGCTGTGTGCTGAACTGGTTGCAAGGAGAGCACGTGTCAACGTAGGCCTCTGGCAAGGGAGATGTGGTCAGGAATGCTAACGGAGTGTGAATGATGATGGAATCCTCTGCCGGTTTGACCACGCTGAATTTACCGGTGACCCATGTGACAAAGACAGCAATGGAGCAGGGGGCTGGCTGAGGTTAGCAGCTCACAAAACACCTCCAAAAACAGGCTACCACGAGCAGGAAGCAGCTCAGATCCATGGCACAGAAGCTTCACCATTGGCACAGCTCCATGGACCACTTTGAAGTGCTTTGGTGCCCAACAGTGCTCCAGCCACTGCCATTTGAGGCCACTGTCAGTGCTGCATGTGAAAGAGGAAGAAGAGTCTTGTGGTTAAGGCCCCAGCTGGGGAGCCACAAGACCTGGGTTCTATTCCCAATTCTGTTTATTCCCTTTGTGACCTTGGGCACGTCATGATCGCTCGGTGCATCAGCTTCCCCAGCTGTTAAACAGCCAAAAGGTACTTCCTTCCCACCCTGTGTAGGCTGGAAGCTCTTTGGGACAAGGACCATCTCTTGCTCTATGTCTGTACAGCCCCAAGCATAATGCAGCCCATATCTCAGTTGGGACTTCTTACCAAACTGTAAGTCGTGTATATGATGGAAACCATTTCGAGCCAGGAATGCTGCCGCACCCCTAGTTACAGCACCTACGTACACACTCGGAGAAGCTAATATGGCAGCCAGCACTCTTATAGCAAATCCAGGGAAGCCCCTATAATCACTTTCAATGCAGTGTCTTGGTTCAAGTGGTTTTATTTCAAAACTGGAACTCAATTTTCCCATTTGTTTTACAAGTTGCTTAAATAAATGTGGTTATTCTACAGAACATTACACTTCTCCCTACTTCCCCCTATTTACAAATCAACATATTTGCTTGTAGATCATTTGCTACCCCCTTTCCTGCCTACCCCACCCCCAAGGCAGAATGGGAACGAGCAGCCAGCTGGGGAAGGGCTCCGAGGCAATGCGTTGCCTCTGTCTGATCAGCTCGCCGAGTCTTTCTGGAGAAGGAGAATGGCAGCAACCGTTCAATATCTGGATGCTCCCCGTCAGCTCCTTGGGTGTGCAAACAGAGCAGGTCCATTTCAAACTCGCTACCGAAGAAAACCCTGCCTTTCTTTGCAGCACAGGGTGCCCCCTGTTTGTATATTGCACGGGCTCCTCTGTATGTGACCCCCCCCGTCTAGGCTGGGCTGCTGCAGCAGGCAAATGAAAAACCCAAACTAAATCGAACCCCTCCCGCTGTCCCTTCCAGATCATTTGAAAGCAGAAGTGGCTGTAAGCATCGGGGGATGGGCAGCCAAAGGCTCCCCTCCCCTCCCCTAATGCTGCTTTAGGAGCACAACTCGTAAGCAGGTGGTGCAGAAGGCTGGCCCAGAAGACCCATTATTTGCCTTTGCAAGTAGCGGTGAAGGGAGGAGAGGGGAAAGCTGGGAGGGGGGGAAGATGAGGACACGTTTTGCTGGCTCAGGAAAGAAGCCACCACAGAAATGCCAAAGGAACCCTTAAGTGGGACTCAAGGCCTTGTCTACACACACAAGTTGTGCTGTTTTAACAACACCTGCAGTGTCCTTCCTAGGGTGGACTCTGTTAGACTGGCAGACAGATGCTTACACCATATAACTTCTTCCCATATGGGAAGGGCAGTAATATATAGTGTTATAAGGCACCTTTAATAATAACTAGCTCTTATATGGGGCTTTTCATCAGTAGATCTCAAAGCACTTTACAAAGGAGAGGTCGGTCTCATTATGCCAATTTTACAGATGAGGAAACTGAGGCACAGAGAAGGGAAGTGACTTGCCGAAGGTCACCCAGCAGGCCAATAGTAGAGCTGGGAACAGAACCCAGGTCTGCTAAGTCCCAGTCCAGTGCTCAATCCATTTTGCCACACATGCACACTAGAGGTGTACGGGTGTAACAATTTCAGTTCAAATAAAAATGCACACCCCAGGCCCCAGCCCACCCACTGACATAATTATATCAGTACTAAATTGGTGTGTAGACCTGGCCCTCTGCCCAGGGGGAGTTTCATCCAGCCATGAGTACAAATTTTTTGTTTTAAATTAAAACCAAAAGCATACCAGCCAAACACTTCAGTTATTTTGTCTATGAACACAGTAGGAAACAGCACTCTCTTTTCTTCAGCTCACTCTTCTTCAGCAGTTAGGTTTAATAGGCCATAGTTTCAAAAGTAGCCCCTGATTTTCAGTGCCTTAATTTTGGGGAGCCCAACCAAGCAGCGGAAATTTTCACTGACTTCCAACAGAGTAGAGAGGGCCTGGCCCTCCTGAAAATGAGGTTCCCTGGGCATCTCCAGCTGGGGACCCAACCACTGCAGCACCCAAAAAAATAAAAGTGACCACTTGAAAATTTGGGCCAATGTCATACTTTAAAAGCTCGGTCTCTAGGGGATGGAACTGATTGAATTTGCCATGTTAGCCAAAAGGTGCATTTGCAATCTTGTTCCTCTTAGCACTGGCAATAGAATGTGCAAGGGTTAGCCATGATTGGGATTCAACCAGGAACTTTCATGTTGGTGTATGTGTGTGTCAGAGAGAGAGAGAGAGCATGCACGTGAAAGAGAGAGAATATGCATCAGACACACATGTGCACGTTACCGAGAAGCCATTGACAAACTGGGGGAAGTTCAGAGAACATAAACACAAATGATCAGGGCCTGGGGAGATGGATTTAGAAGAAAATACTAACAGAACTCCACAGATACAAGCTGGCTAAGAGATGACATAGGCAGGAGGATTTTATTCTACCCCTCAAGCAGCTGTAGGATTTTAAAAACCAAGAAGGAAAAGGAATGATTTAGGGTGGGGCCCCTGGCTACAACTAGGAGTAACAGGATAAAATGAAAAAAGGGAAAATATGGGTTGGCTATCAGGAAAAACTTTCCGACAGTCAGATGCAGTAGGCTGTGGAATAATCTCCCCTGGGGAATGGCGGAAGCCCCCTAGTTTGGCACTCAAGTGGACAACCCCTCCCCCCTAAATTTCCTGCAGCGAGCAATCTTGTAATAGCAATGGAGAGGGACCAGATAGTCTGATAGGTCTTTTCCATCCCTGACTGGTGTGTGTGTGTGGGCACATTCTCTTTGCTAGCAACAAAACTACCTTGGTGAGATTTGTCATGTACAAGGTCACCTCAAAACGTTACACACAAAGACGCTTGCAGTGTCTTGTTTGCAGAACTCAAGGTAATTATCCCTGAAGGGAAGTAACCATTTGAGGTGTCCTTGACTACGTTCCAACACTGGCAACATCTCGTCCTTTCCATCTAGGAAATGCCAGGAGATGCTTTCACTGTTGCACAGCTAAGGGAAAAGCAATATAAATCAAAGCCATGGATTCCTGTTCCAGGAGAACCACTGCATGTTACCAGACCCAAGCGGGAAGTGGAAAGTCCCAATCCGACTGCAGACAATGGAGAGACCAGCAGGAGAGTATTTGTAGGAGTTAAGGGAACCGACCACAAGCTGATAATGGCAGAGACCGGGTACTGCTGACCCCAGAACAGATCCCTTAATGGCACTGGTGTCTTTGGCCTTCTGAGCTCAGAGCATGAGCCAGATCTAGGGAGCGGTGAATGTGTTTGGTTGGGACATCCCCAACACGGTTGCCAGGCTGGTGGAGTTGCTCATCGTTCAAACCATTCTCCGAGGTGCAAGGGGGACAAAGGACAGCCCAGGTCCATTGCTGGTGATGGATGGAGTTGGCGACTTTTGACTGGCACCAGTGAATCGGATGCTGAGGTGAGGGGCACGCCAGAGAGTTGACAAGAGAGTGGGGACAGCCCATGGCTTTGGGCCATGGCGATACGTAAACATCCACGGGGGCGGTCAGAGATCAGAGCCAGGGCTCATCAGCAATGGCACGAGCATCTCCATGAGCCACGGCTGCATTGGTAGGCAAGGACACCCCACACAGAGGGCTGGCCTCCACCCTGTGACTCCTCAGTAGAAAGAATACTGGTTCTCAACCGCCCTGGTCCTGCTGCGCGAGCCGTCGCTCTCGTGGTAGTCCTCCACGCTAATGCTGGGTGACTCCAGCAGGCGCTCAGTACTGTTGCTGCGGCTCCGGGCACTGAGGGTCCCCTCCATTCGGTGGTACAGAGGGTGGCCGGTTGAGGAGGAAGAGGCGACAGCCCCCTCCCCAGGCGATGCGGGCTGGAAAGGGCCTGGCACAAAGCTGGAGAAGTAGGGTTGGGATGGGAGGTCGCTCCTGCAGCTGGGCTGTTGGGAGGCAACAGCTGGGGCAGGGCTGGCATCTGCAAGGTGAAACACAAAAGAGTCACGTGCCCGGAGAAGGCACGAGGGCGAATGTTTTACAAGCTGTTCGGTGCTGGACTGGCAGCCACGGAGAGAGGAGTTCTCCGTCCCCAGGGCACATACAGCACAGGGATGCTTGCCCCGCACAGCCCTGCCAATAAGCTTTGCACTCACATGAAACCTGTCATCAGAGAGTCTCATGTGCTTTACACAGGTGAGTGTCATTAGCCCCAAGTGACAGGTGGGGAAACTGAGGCACCCATGGGGTAGGTGGAGGGGGTCTTGTCCAAGGTCACCCAGCAAGTCAGTGACCGTCAGGACTTCAGATCTGCTGCAGATCTTCCAACTCCTAGACTCTAGGTGGCGTGATCTCTCCTAACCTCAACCAGTTGAAATATGGAGCCAGGTCCTGGGAGTGGCCATGCATGCGAGGAAGGGCAGAGTGGTACTGGGATGGGCTGCTCTATCAACTAAGGTGCTAGCTCATTGTCTTTGTCCATCTCACAGCGCTTTGCAGACTCCGGCTCGACCTCACAGCGCCCAGGCTAGGCAAGGAAGCAGGCGGGATCACCAGAGACACGGCGGGCAAGTCACTACATGAAGTCAGCGGGCGAGCTGAGAAAGACATCAGGTCTCCCGAATCCCACTCCAGCACTTTAACCGTGGCTCCTCGCTGCAGATCCCCCAGTGGTTCAGACTCCAGTGCTCGGATGCCAGGAGCTACATCCTGTCCCTCCCAGCCTCTCCCACTGACCCGAACGAATCTGCTCTCAGTTAATTTGGGTCTTGGCCAATATGGAGACAGCCACCCTCTCAGTCTGCTGCGTGAAGCCACGCAACCCACATTGCCTGCAGGGGGTGAGCGCAGGTATGCGCCCTTCCTTGCAGGCCTCCGAGGGCAAAGGGGTGTCTCCTGCCCAGCCAGGGGTGGCTCCTTCTCCCCAAGCACAGTGGCACAGTCCCTCCGCTCTCATGGCGATGCCCCAGTCTGCCCCAGATACAGCTGGGACAGCACCGGGCTGCGTAGGCCTCACCTCGGAAGCCCTGTGCATTGCTAACACAGCAGAGGATTGAGACGCTCGTGCAGCTGAAATGCCTCCAAGGGGAAAGGGGAGCACAAAAATCGATGGGGCCAAGAGGCGAGGGGGAGGGAGGGCAGAAAGCACCAGCGCTGTGACTTTGCCCCTTCTATCTCCAACTGCACAAGCGCTCTGTGGGTCTGGATGGGACGTGCGGCCTATCACCCCCTCTCCTCCAATCGGCCCTAGATGGGGATCTGGAACAAGATCAGGCCCATCACGTTTGGATCATCTTGAGCAGATCCCCCTTCACTGCAGTAGCGGGGTGTGGGGAGGCCAGCAGCTGGTGGCAGCACGTCCCCATCAGAGGGATTGAGGGGTGTGGGTAACAGCCCAGAGGCACGGGGACGCTGCACAGATCTGGTGGCTCCCCAGAAAACCAGGCAGGTCTTGGGGGAAAACCAAAGTCCTTGGGGGACTGGACTCCCTGCCACTTCCTATGCAGACAGAAGGAAGCCTGTCTCCCTGGGGAAGAACTGGGAGACAACACTGAGCCCCATATTAAGGCTATGTAGGGGAGCACTGACCTCTGTATCATGTTACGGCCCCCATTGCTCATTTGAGGAGTGGGTTTTAAATGCATCCACCCTTCCACCCTATGCCAGTTTGGAGGCAGCTCAGCCCCAAACGAGAACATCCCCTCCGGACAAGAGGTGCTCAGGGCCCTCGCCCTGTTCAGCCCCTCAAGATCTGATCAGACGCATGGACACAGGTAATCAAATCCTTCCCACAAGGTCCCGCCTAATTGCATCTCGAGTGATTTCACTCTCCCTGCCTCATCAAGTATGTGCAACAGGCCACTCAGCACATCCCTTATCACCGGAGCAGAAAATACACACACTGGCCCCCAGCATGCTCTTCCTACAGCTCATGGAGATGGAGATGGATACACACACAGAGCTCCTTTAGATTTTTTTATATATGAAGGCAGCACCTCTAGTGGTTAGAGCAGAACACTGGACATCTGTAAGGCCAGGTACATGGTTGTCAGCCGGGACTGAACCTTGGACCTCTGGATGCGAAAGCCCGCACCACTTCTGCCTGAGCTAAAAGGAGCTGGATCTGCTAGCCAGGGCTGTAGCAGGCTCAACCTCTATATATGTCCGGGCCATCACTAGAAGGGGCACATCCACATCCAGGATGCTGGGTTTCTATTCTAATCCCTTGCTGTGTGACCCTGAGCAAGTCATAATCTCGCTGACCCTCACTTTGTCTCTCTGTAAAATGGGATAATAGACACAGACCCACTTTCATACCATGCTTTGAGATCCCTGGATGAGAGATACCAGACATTATGTTGTGGAAGTTCTCTCTGGAAATCCACCCCAGCCCATATCAAAGGGCGCCAGCCTGTAAAGCCAGCTTGGTCCTTCTAGCCAGGGAATCTTGGACACCACCATTCCTGAGCTGGCTGCTGGTCAGAAGAACTCAAGGGCTAAGTGAAGTGCTCCTAGCCCCACTCCCCAAGGGTCAGCATAGGGGCAACACCTTAGAATAAGCAGGACAGCTTTTGGGAAATGGTACTGGAGGAGAAAACACGAGAGAGTCTATTTCTTTTGGATGTTTGCAGGGAACTTGGTGCAAGCACGTTTCTCTTGGAGACGGCCCTGACCCCAAGTCCTAGGATCACATCCGGATATGAGCTCTGACCCATCTCCAGCTCTCCTCACTCATCTCCTGTGCAGGATCACGAGGGATGCTGTGCTAGCCGGGTGACCTACCAGAGAAGGGGCCCTGCGCCACAACGTAGCTGCGGAGAGTGATGTCAGCTGAGCCGCCGGACTCCAGGGGGATGGGGTGGGTGTGGAAGTGCCGCAACATATCGAAGATGGTCTGGAACCAGAGGTGCTGCACATGGCACTGGCCGTTCTCGTTCAGGGATAGCCGGAGGTGCTGCAAGAGAGGGGCGCAGTGAAGCAGATGGGCCGAAGGGCAAGTCCACAGCTGCCGTGGATACTGACCCAAGTGTTATTTGTGCCACAGACCGTGCACATGGCTTGGTTCCTTCATGTGCTGGGTAGAGCGTTTACAGCTCCCCCAATCCAAAGGCTACTGGTTATCTACAAACAAAATTGTTTTTTCCGCTTCGCTAGCAATTTGGCTCAAAACAGGAAGATCTCACGTTTCAGAGCTGATTGAAACTGATTGGCTGCCAAGCAACAGTTGCTATGACCCATTCAGAAAGCGTCTGGTCAGGGAAGCTGGCCTTTTGGGTTACCAGCAGCATGAAACAGAAGTGTTCTTTGAGAAGAGGGGGAAATAAAAAGGAAAGCACCTTTACCAAAGAACACTGGAATAGAGGCTGCACAAAGAGAACACCCAGCAGAGAGCTTCTGCTCTGGGACCTTTCACTGACACTCACCCAGCTGCATGCAAGTTAAAGTGCAACCGACTTGTAATGCAAGACATTTGCTGGGAAATCAAAGGCTAGTTCCCACTTTCTGCAGTGGAGTGGCCTGTTAAAATGTTCTAGTTTCACCCCTATGGGGCAGTATTCCTTATAAACACTGCACATTTAAATGCCCTTTCTAAGTTGCAAGTCCCTCCTGTGAAGCGTGAGGTTCCTCTGCGCAGCTCCTACCAAACTCGGGGGGGTGGGAGGGGTGTTTATTAGTAAACAATTAGGTTCTAAAAATAAAACAAAAATGTGTATGCAACAAGAGCTTCCTTTCTTGGGTCCTGACCCTGAGAGGTGCTGAGCACGCACAATGTTCCCTGAAACCAGTTGGAAGAGAGTGCTCAGCATCACTCAGGATCAGGCCTGCCATGACTTGCCAAGGCTAACACTTGCCAGGGGGACATCCCCTTCAGCCCTGCAGAGTTGAGAGTGCTCAGAGCCCCCTGAGCCCTAACCCATTTCAGGAATGTGTCCCTTTCCCCGTCACCCCAACCCAGGGCTTAGCAGGGTGGCTGCTGGAACAAGCACCCCCCTGCCATGTCTAATAAGAGAGAGGATTTGCATTCAGCTCTGCCACTGAAACCTCACAGGTTTCTACTTCACTGAACCCCCTCAGACTTCATCCACAGCACCATTCAGGCGAGTGCCTTTCGCTTTCACGCACCAGGCCAGGAACCTGTGCAGCCAGCCCCAAAGGGCTAATAGATCTCTCCATGGGAAATTACCTAGCGGCGTCACCAAGGGGAGAACTGATGCCTCTTCGCTAGAACGTGGACACTTGCAAGAGTTATTGCTACCATACCGAGCCACTCAGGCTGTCCCAGCATTGAGGGCCATCGATGCCAAGCAGAAACAGAAACAGAATAGGAATAAAAGGGAGGCTTTTAATCCAGTGATCTCAAAGCACCTTAGAAAGGGAGCCAAGTATCAGCCCAGTTTTGCAGAGGAGCTGGGCAGAAAGGGGTTGAGTAAGCTGCCCATGGTCACTCAGTAAGTCAGTGGCGGAGTCGGGAATAGTCTGCAGATCTCCAGAGTTGTCCCCTGACAGAGTCGCATAGTCCGTGCTTAACCTGGGGCACGTGAGTCATACACCGCATAAAAAGGGGTCTGTGTTAGACACACACACAAAAACAGCCAGCAAGAACAAACAGGCTTTATATTTAAAAAAAAAACAAAAAAACAGGCCTTGCTCTGATCTTCCTATTGTGCTGTTCCTGGCAGGCTGGCACTGGGATAAGGAGCTGCCAGCATTGTTTCTTTTAAAGCCTTCCTGCCTTAGCAGAGCAGCAAGCGCTGTCAAATCTGCGAGATGCATTTCGGTGGCTCAGCATTTCCACTCCCCCAGCTTCATGTTCGGAGCAGCCAGACTGAGAGCCCTAGATAGCGGCTGCATTTCTCTTGGGTGGGGGGGCCAGGGGTGGGAAGGCGGTTAACGCTCGCTTGGGAGCCGAGCCCGGAGACTAAACTGCGTGGGCTATTGGCAAAGTGGGTGGTTTGGGGTCCCCTTGGGCATTTTATTCTCTATTCATTAGAGCTGGTCTGGCAGGGCCCCCTCTGGCAGCATCTTAAGCCTACAGGAAGCTTTCACTTCCTCCGACACGCTAATCCTCCAGGGCTGCTCTCAGTCCTCTCCCTGCACCGAGCAGCTCATTCACTCTCCTCTAGCAGCCTTGCTTCCCACTGGCTCCCTGGGCTGCTCTAGGTGGCTAACATCCAGCTTCCTTTAGAGCCCCCCAGGCTTCTTTCACAAGGGGTTTGGTAGCCCCAGTGTCCTGGCTACATTCCAATTCTGGTAACCACCTGACAATCCCTTCCTCGCTTTCGACTGGATCCAAGACCCTCACATCGCTCTCTGGGGACGTCTTCACTGCAGCTAGAGGTAGACATACGCGCACTAACTTTGATCAGGCTGTGTAGCTGGGGCAGCGCAGGTGGCAGGAGGGGCTAGCCACCCTGAGTACCACCCCGTCTGAGACCTAGGCCCGTACTCAGGCCATTGGCCCACCCTGCAGGTACATTGCTACTTTTAGCATGCTAGCTCAAACAAAGCTAGCACATGTATATCGACTCAATGTACCCTCCGTACTAACCTGTAGCTCAGTATTTCTGTGCCCTGTTAAAAGGGGTCAGCGTTCCACCCCAGAGAGAGCTGCATTTCAGTGATGGTGAGCTAATCCCTGTTCATGACATAGATCTTCATCTTGCTTTCAGTACAAGGGTGTCACTTCCACTGAAATCAATGGGAGCTTTGCCTAGAGAATCTGGGGGCAAAACTGATCTGTAGTGTTGTAGCCCAGTAGACCGGGCACTGGACTGGGACTCATGACACCTGGGCTCTATTCCCAACTCTGCCATTGGCCTGCTGGGGGACATGAGGGAAGTCATGTCCCGCCCTGTGCCTCAGTTTCCCCACCCATAAAAAGGAGATGATGATACTGACTTCCTCTGTAAAGTGCTTTGAGATCTAACAATGAAGAGAGTGACTAGTAGTAGTTTGTGGAGTGCTTCCAATTCTGGTAACCACCTGACCATCCAGACCTCTGGATGAAAGGCCACACATAAACGTTAGCTCTTTTCATTCCCTCTTATGCAGCACAGAACTAAAGAGATGGAGAACCACTGTCCTAATTTGTTATGCAGCATGGCCGTGTGTTTTAAACAGCTGCAAAGGTGGCCACATTTCAGCCACAGGTGGAATGGATCTTTGTACATCATTCTGGGATGAAAGGCGCTTTCAAGGGTTGGAGGATTATTCATGTTTGGGGATCTCGGCAATCCCAAAAAAGCCCAGTCAATAATGACACTTCCGAGCATCTTTTTAGAAGTCAGCAGAGCTATCCTGCTTCCGAGCCCCACTGTAATCAGACAGGTAGGCCAGAGACAGGCCCCCGTCCTGCTTCCTGCTCGCTACATATTGGACTGACGCTGAGAGGTGGAAAGACAAACGAGGGATAGCATCAGAGAACGGTGGGTGAGTGCGGCTAGTGCAGTTCTAAAACCATTTAAATAACAAGCATCACAATGGCACTTGCCTTTGCTTTCCCCTGGAAGTTAAAAGTCAGCACATATTCGCCTGGTCGAGTTTCACTCTGCCGAATGACAAACAGACCGTGACTCCTGGCCCCACCGAAGAGCACCAGCTGGGCGGCTTTGATCCGTGACAGCGTCCCGTGGAACCAGGGGAAATCTGAGAGGTTGATCTCCGCTTCTGTCTCGCTTTCCTCCCCTGTACAGTTGGAAAGGGGTAAAAGAAAGGCAGTTTAGAGAGGGAAATGGTTGTCTTTCAAAAGGGACGGCAGCAACAGTGAATAGACCGCAGGGCTCTGGCAGAGGACGTTCTGGCTATTCCAGAAGGATCAGGATCAGGATCATATGCTGGGAAGATGACGTCTGAGTCAAATACAGAGGATCGTGTTGTAAATGTGCACCTGTAGCTAAGCAGGCTGGCTACTGGGTGCTCCTCTCAATTCCACTGAAAGAGTGGCCAGGCACGGCAGAAAAAGGGTTTCTATATTAAACCAATGGGCTCTTCTGGCTGGGAGCAGCGGGGCAAGGTTAGAACGGAGTGCACTCGTCCCTCCCTGCCTGCCTATACAACCTCCCCATCAGCTTTATTCCTGGGTGCACACCTCCTCCCTTTTTGCCACTGGGCACACCCACCCTATGTATGGGCACCTCATGTACACACCTGTCCCCATGAACACCCCTTTAATTCCCCACCTCCACCCTTCCCCCTCACACCCTTCTCTCTAATCAGAATGCAGCAGTTCTGCTCAGGATTTGCTCAAGAGACCCACGTTGCATTGCAATGGGATTTTCCCCTTTTCTTCTATCAGTTGTGTCACATACAGCAAATCAGTTGGAAGGTGGCCAACGTGGCTACCTCCCTTCCCACCCCCCCCCACCCCCCGGAGCCTTGCAGGTACCTGCTAAATGACTGCTAGTGGCTGGTGACTCCACGGTCTGCAGGAAGTTTTCCAGTGGTACATGGGCCAGGTGTTCCCCCAAGGAGTCCCTGGCCCTGCCATGCGGGGGTGAGATGACAGTGGCAGCGGTCGGGGTGGTGGTGTGGGTGGCAAGCACAGAACATCTGTCTGGAGTCCTGTGCACACCTGAAAGGAAGGCAAGCTTTAACGGCTTAAAGCTCAGAGTTTCTCTGCGAATCAACCCACAAGCACCTGTCACGGACCAACAAGATCGGTGCTACACCCTCAACTTTGGAGCAGTCTCTTCGGGGAACCCTTCAATGGGCCAGACCCACAAAGGGTCTCACTCCTCCTTCAGGGCAGGCCATGCAGCCTCCCAAGACTGAACCTCGGGGGCTCCAACACTCCTGCTTCACGCCGCGAGATCTGCTCAGCGAGTCCAACTGAGATCGACACCTGGTAGAGACCTGTCCACCCACCAGGGATTCATGCACCTCACCACATATTTACGGGGACACTCAGGCAGTGTTGTCAACACAGGTGGGTTTATTAGTCACCTGGAGCACAGCGGAGGAAGTCCTTAGGTTAGCGCAGAGGAATGAGGGTTAAAGCATAGCCTGGTCTGGCTAGCCCAGAGCCCCAGCCAAGCTGTAAAACTCCATTTTCCGGCTCTGTCTCTCGCAATCTGCCTTCCTTAGCCCGTTCCCAGGTGAAAGAGCTCCCTGCTTACTCCAGAAGCCAACACTTTATCCCCCCACCTCACACCTTCCAGCCCTTTGTTCTCAGGCTGGGGTCTTTGCTCAGGGTCCCTGCTGACAGGTGCGGGAACTGCATCTCCCTCTGGGTTGCTGCATACTGGGTCAATGTCTGGTTGACTGGGTTTTCCATTGATACAGGCTTGATTTGTCTCTTGCTATAGTGTCACCTTGGCCAGTTCTTTTCAGGGACACATTCAGGCTCAGGCAGCTAGGCAAAACACACGCACACACTCTAGGTCACTTAGCCTGCCCTCAGAGACAGCTTGGGCCTTTCCCCACCCTCACTGGGTAGCCATGCAAAATATAAGGGAAACTGAGGCAAACAGAGGATTCATAAAAATGTTATAGAAAATCCCCACGTTGTCAACACCACATTCAGTAATAACGGACGTGGTGTATTGTCCTCTATACGATCTGCTCCTACTAGAGAGAGAAAGGGAGACAGTTGGCTGGGTTAGTTTGTAGGGTTAGTTAGTTGGTCACCCTAGAGACTGCAGTCTTCCATTTACCCAGAGAATGGGTCCAGACCAGCAGAGCCACTTTAATCCTTCCCCACATCACCCTGACAACATGCTACTCCCCTGCCCCAGAAGAACAACCGCGAGAAGTAAGAGAGGGTAGTTCAGTCTCAGACAGGCCATTCACTGTGCAGCTGCTCTGCTGTGACTAGTGACAGTGGTGCCAGGATGCCTCAGTAGGAGCTGGACAGAGACCCAAAACTCATCTCACACTCAGCAATGAAGTTTTGGTCAACAGAAATGGGGCAGATTTGAAACAGAAGCCAGAGTCTCCATGTGCTGGTCTCAGTCCCCCATTTCTTTAGGGATAGGCAGCAAGGGAAGGCTGCTGGGGTCAGGCTAGGATCAGCTTGATTTAGTTTGGGATTGTCCTGCTTTGAGCAGGAGGTTGGACTAGATGACCTCCTGAGGTCCCTTCCAACCCTGATATTCTATGATCAGCTGCTGGCTACAGGGCACATGAAAGCGAGTCAGAACGGCCAGATACTTGGCCTGCATCCCTCGCCTGTCAGATCAGGGTGGCTGCATCATGAACAAGAACAGATCCCAAAGGAGAGCGGAGTTGCTCCCACATTTTATGATCTTTTCTTTTGTTGTCAGCTGCATTCTCGCCTTGAAACCCAACCCAACACCACAAGATGCCAAACATCTGAACCCAACGTTTCTGGTGATTTTCTCCGGGTGCCCTTACCATCGGCCAGAAATTCACAGCTGCAGGAGGGTACCCTGCCTGGCAGGCAGGCTCCCTGCACACAGGAGGAAAGTTCAATATCATCTCCGCTGTCCCTGCAAGGAAAAAACAGAGCAGATGGTCATGTGCAGGCTGTCACTCTCTGCAGGCACAAGCCTCACCGGGGATGGGGTGAGCGGGGAAGAATTTCCACTCTCAGGTAGGAACCATGGTTCATTTGACTAATCTTATAATTCTGGGTAAATTCAAGCTCCATGCACTCAGTTGGGTGCTCTGGATCACATTTCTAGTGTCTGTAGAGGGGAGGGATAGCTCAGTGGTTTGAGCATTGGCCTGCTAAACCCAGGGTTGTGAGTTCAATCCTTGAGGGGGCCATTTAGGGATCTGGGGCAAAAATTGGGGATTGGCCCTGCTTTGAGCAGGGGGTTGGACTAGATGACCTCCTGAGGTCCCTTCCAACCCTGATATTCTATGATTCTATGATTCTATGTACCATGAAACAACAGGCCCCAGCTCTGCCAGATGGCTGCAGTACCCTGCTTGCCAGTCCCTGGGATGCAGGCCAAGCTCCCATGCTGGCCAATCATGGCGGCGACTCGGAGGCCATTTGGGTCAGAAACAGAGTTCAAAGAAAGCATCTGGGATCGAATGGATGGGGGAAGGTAGGGGAAGCAGAGCAGGCAGGAGAGATGAAAGCAGGCCAACTCCAGAGGTGGAGGACACCCATCTAGAGATGGAGGAGCCAATGTTTAGCATCGGGGGTGGAGTGGGAGCAAGACAGGCCTGGTGGACCTTGAGACAAGATCTCTTGGGGTGACGGCAACAGCCAGTCCAACAGCGGGAAGTTTGACCAAATGACCCCCTATGGGAGCAATGCCTGTGCACATCCCTGACCATCAGCTGACTCCCCCTGTCAGTCATAGCTGTGCCCGCCCCTTTAGCCTGACGCCACTGTCATGCAAAAAGCCACGCTCTCTTGAAATCCTATATTTAGCCTGGACGCTCCCGATTGCCCCATTGTGGTGAGATACGCACACCGGTCTCCGTTACTCTTGGAGCAACAGCCTCTAGCTGAACCAGGAGGACACGTGCTAGCAGGCAGCTCAGGAAGCGGTTTGTGTTGGCGGTAAGTGTTTGGGAGGGAGCAGCTGAATTATTTAGTAAGCAGTGAATGAATCAGCAGTCGGAGTCGCTCAACTGCAACCCTTAAAAAAGAAACCACCTCTGCAGAAAATGCGTTGACAGGGCACTGACGAGGTTTCCGATTCAAACCCTTGGCAAGCACGGCACTCACAAGATGAATGAAAATTCACTCTTGGTGCTCACCAGGCGTGTCCATGTCTTAAATATCTCAGAGTGCTCTACAAACACGGGCCCTGATGTTGCAAATACTTATCCCCGTGGTGGTTAGCTCTGAGCCCACAAAGGGTCCACAAAGGGCTGCAGGGCTGCTCAAGTGCTGGAAGTTAAGCACATGCATGCCCGTTTGCTGGATCAGGGCCCTTACTCCATTGCATATGGGGAGAGAGCCGCACAGAGATGTCAAGCTGCTTGCTCAGAGTCACAGAACATGGCAGCAGCAGAGCCAGAGGTCCTGGCTCCCATCCATTGCCTTAGCCCCTGGATAACACTCTTTACAAGCTGCAGGGCAGTGACCAAAGTGCATTAATGTGGTCCTCTAGACTCCAGAAAGCCCTTTGACACCAAAACCCTTGACTGTTCTGTGGGCTGGGTGCTCTCAGCTGAGGGCTGCCGGATGCTCTTTCTAGCAAAGCAGAACGTGTACAATGTGCTCCCGAGACGGGGAGTCAATAAAAACCAACAGACCCCACCTTTCGCAGTTCCTCTCTTCACATCTGAGCCACCAGGGGATTTTTTCCTCCCCTGTGAACAGCTTAGTATTTCAGACATGTTTGGAATTAGAATGGAGCCTTATGCCGCGGAAAGGCAGCTAAAGCCAAAGCAAATAAGTCTATTTGCTACTGTGAGATGTTTGTTAAGGTATTTTAACCTTTTCCATGATCTCTTGAGGAGTCAAACCCTCCCCTCCCCCCCAAACCCTCAGTGAGACGAAGACAATCTTCTACAGCATCTTGCAACCTAACGGATACCATACCAAGCTGGTTGTAGGCTGCACACATAGGAATCACTGCCTGTCAGTGAAACCCAACCGCCTCTGGGGAGGAACGCAGCAGCTGTCTAAACCGTAGCACTCCACAACAGCGTAGGAGAGGATGTGAAGACAAACGCTGTATCCAATTGCAACTGCAGGCAGAACGAGACTGTAACCCACTGGTTAGTGTGTGCAAGACATCCAGGATTCCAGTCACAGATAAGCCCCCACTTATGTGATGGCCACTATATTAGTGGACACACTGGGGATTTAAACTAGGAACTCCAGAGCTACAGACATGGGCTGTTTCAGCTAGAGGGACAAACCTCTGTAGCTGCTGGCTGTAACAGGCTCAGATCCCCCGCGGCTCAGGCACCGAGCGGGACCCCAACACACACTCAGCAGTGGGTCACGCAAGCACTGGGAGTGTTTGGGGCCTTGCTTCGTCACAGAGATGATGGCTGGTTAGTACCAGGGTTTCTCTTCCAGTCAGCTGTGTCTGAACGCTGTTCCCAGTCTGCCGGGGCAGTAGATTGGTTGGTCACACAATGACTAACGCTAGCCAACCTTTTATGAACAAATTTTGTTGTTGAAAAATGGGCTTTTAAAAAAAAAAAAAAAGCATTTTTGGGTGAAAAAAATCATTGACTTTTTTCATTTTTCTTTCTCTCTATCTGAGCACCTCACCATCTTTATAATGGATTTATCCTCACAACACGTCTGTGAGGTGAAGCAGTGTTGTTATCCCCATGTTACAAATGGGGAACTGAGGTACTAAGAGACTAAAGGACTTTCCCTGGGTCACACAGAATGTTTGTAGCAGAGCAGGGACGGACTCCAGCTCTCTTGGGCCCAGGCGGTGCTCAAACCCCTGGATAATCCTTCCTCTTCTGAGGTAAAGAGGTGCTTTTTGAAACAGGGAGGGCAGCTTCCTCAAGTGAGCCTTACCCGGGGTCTATGCAGTCCTGGATATCTGCCACCCAGGAATGTTTCTGGAGGGAGTCAATGGTTTCCAGAATATACTCAGCACCATTCTCCACCTAGATGGGGAGAAAAGGGTGGTGGGGGAGAAAAAGACGCAGTCAATTTACAATTCCTTTACCTGTTTAAAATAGACTCTTCCTCACTTTGCCACCCACCCCAGAGATGTGAAAGGAGAGGAGAAATAAACTGCATAGCCTCTGTTTAACAATCAGACTGGATCGTGGAGTTAAGTAAATGCTCGTATCACACCTTCACCCACCACTGTAATGCAGCCACCGCTCTGGAGCATGGGCAGCTGTTAAATACCTCACAGCACATCAGTTCGAAATGGGAAGTGAAGGAGCATATCGTGTCCAAAAGAAATTATGATATGGGATGAAAGGGGATATTTTCAGGCATTTGACTGTAACTACCTAAATTGGAATTAGACAGAACTCTGGGGCGAACATCCCTACTTCTGTGAAATGTGCCATGGGATTTTTAATGGACATGACTTCAGTGTAAAGGCTCATCTGAAAAAGACAGCCTAATCCCAACACCACAATACCCCCTAACTCCATGCTGGAACATTAGCTCAACACTGACTCAAAGGAAAAAGCCCACTTACTGATCAACCAGCCTCACTTCCTGCAGTACCCCAGGCTTTCTTTGAAGGTCTCTCTTCCACATACTGACCAGGCCCAACTCTGTTTGTTTTACCACATTGGATGCCACAGCCAGAGGCAGTATGGCCAACCCCAAGTGTGCAAAAAATCACAAGTCAGAATTAGCAATGCCATCCCCAGCAGATATGCCAAGGATAAGCCGGTGATTACTCCATTCCTGTGATTTACCTCACAGTAAGTGAAACTGATACCTAAACTTTAAAAGAAATAACACAAAATATGCCTGGAAGATTTGGGGATTCTTAAATCGTTTGAACAAATGGAAAGGAAACAAAACACAGTGTTTAGATATCTTGCAAGGCACTATTTTTCTTCACAGTGAAAAGAAATGTAAGCATACAAAAGGGAGTGCTCAGTTAAAGGGTGTATAAATACATTTTGGCTGAAAGGAGAGACAAATTGCAGAGCCAATTTACAATAGAGGTCCTCTGAACTAGGGGGAAGGTTTTCCATCCACAACTATCTGCATTTCCTCTTCCCTCCATCATAAACCCACTGTTGAATACAACTGACACAATTACTCCACACATCAAACGCACGTGGGAAGCTGAGAGTGGAAGCCTGCTGCTCTGGCTCAAAAGCTACAGACCTCCTCCACCTGAGGAGAGCTCCAATAGCCAGAAGAGGTAATAGGTCCCTTATCTTTGCTGGGGGTTCAGCCACTACATCAGTCACTTCCACACTTCTTCAGGGGGGCTGGAACAATTTGTAGAGTGGGGTGCCGAGAGCCATTGAACCAAACTGTAAACCCTGTTTATAATGGAAACAACTTCAAGCCAGGGGGTGCTGGAGCACCCCCGGCACCCATAGTTCCGGCACCTATGTGCCTCTTCCCAAAAGACATCTTTGCAGTGCATCATCTGGGTCCAGCTGAATTCCCCACACCCTTTCCCCACACTCGCTAATTCTTTAGGCAGAAGAGGTTTGTGGGAAGAGAGCAGTGTGTAAAGGGGGAGAAGGTGGCTCTGGGACTTTTCAGAGAGTCATTTAGTGGTCAGCACCCCTTTTAAACACTTCCCCTCCCTGAGGAGACAGAGAGCAGGATCTCAACAAGCAATTATGGGCTTTGAAACTAACAAACCAAATAAACCCTTAGGGGAAACAGGGACTGAAGCAAAGGGGAGAGCCGTTATTGTTAGGGAATTATTGGGAAAATTTAGGAGAGGAAAGAAGGTGCATTAATCCAGCTGCTATCCCAGGACACGATTCCACCTCACCCATCACCTGCCTTGCTCGCTCTGGAAAGAGAAAGTGTGAGGAACAACCTCCCCCTCCTCCCCCCCCCCCCCCCCCACACAGCAGAACACCAAATACAAAGTTTTGTGCCTCACAAAGCCCCTTTGTCCTCATTGAAAAGGACTGTGGGTGAAGTTTGCATAAGTTCGACTTGCCAGGGAACCACCATCCAAGGGAAAGAACCATTTCTATGGCAACCTCTGTGTGCCACGGGGCATCTAGTCAATTCAAAGCGCTTTCTTAAAGGCCTGGTAGGCAGCAGGAAGTGAAGTGCCAGGCTTTTAAATCAAACTATGGTAAAGACAAAGCAATACCATTCTACAGGCAGTTTTCCCCTTGACGTTTATGATTGTGAGAGCTTTAAACAGGCTCATCCACACAGGCAAACTGGCCTCTGAACTCTTCCTTTGAAAATATGCTTTAGGCAAACAATGGGGAAGAGGAGTGATTTAAGCAGCAATGGGATGGGGAGGGGGTGTTCTTGACTTTCATAGTGGAAGTGATGAGCACACCAGGTATCTAATAAACTCAGATGCAAGCACAAGGCTAGTGGCAGTCAGAGGAGACCGGCACTGGACCATATGTTCTTTCTCCTGCGAGGCTGTTCAAATATCACGTTAGCCCAGTATGATTTGCTGCAAGGAAGGCAAGATCTAGGGTAAAATTCTGCATGCAAACATCAGTATTCTACATTAAGTGTATATAATGGGAATCACTGCAAGCCAGCCCCCCGGCTCAGCACCTCTGCATCTCTTCCCAAAAGACATCTTTGCACACGTGCACCATCTGGGTCCAGCTGAATCCCCACACACTTTCCCCACACTCGCTTAGACAAAAGAGGTTTGTGGGAAGACAGCAGTATGTAAAGTGGGGGAAGGTTCTGGCTCTTGGGCTTTCCAGGGAGTCGTTTAGTGGTCAGCGGCATGCCAATAATGTGGAATACAGACGAAAATAAGTGCAAAACTCAACTCAGCCTTAAAACTATGCAGCTGCAACTGGCACTTCCCTAATAAATGAAATGCAACAGCCATCAGGTCACCAAGCTGGTCCCGATGTCAGACAAGGAGCTAGGATTGGGGCCTGCTTTGCTCATGTGCTTGGATTCTCTCCTCATACCCCCGTTTCTGGTTTCTGTAGCTCCGATGGAGATAAATTTAAGACAGCAGCCATGGAATAGAGGCTCCGGTGGAGGTTGATTCAGAGATGAGCACCCCCTACTGAGTCACCCTCAGTGCTTGCTGCAACACAGTGCCTCCTGGCATCCCACTGGGAGCTTAGGTTGGGATCTGCCTCAGTCAGTGCCAACAGTAATAAGGCATTGCCCTAGCTTCTCATGCCCCTGATCCCCAATTGCTTTGCTAGGAGAGGGAGCATTAGCGTCCTCCTTTTAAACAACAAAGGCACAAGGAAGGGAAACAACTTGTCTCAGGTTATACCCTACACCCAGGGCAGAGAAGGGAGCAGAACCCAGGTCTTCAGCCTTAACCCACTAGACAAAGCTGCACCAGCTTGTGGGTTTGAACTGGGACCAAAAGCAAAGGGACCAAGATATCCTGAGAGTGCCTGATCTTGTGACCGTCCTCTTCTAATTCTGGGGACTGGTGTAGGTTGGAGAGTTCAGACAGGCAGCTGGATACCTGGATGCTCACAAACACATAGTGCTGGCCCAGCCCTGGAACGGATGCTGGTGCACTGGAAACATCAGGCTATTTTCACTCACGTATGCACGGTAACCTCCTGGCTGTAGCCGTAAGCGTTTCTGATCCGGCTCAATGGGGAGCGATAGTCCATTAACACAAACATCCCATAGAGAGCACCTGATGTGAAGTGGCAGCCACATTAGTCCGAGTGAAGCACTCTCTCTTTTTTATTTAAAAAAAAATTTAATTTTAACTCAGCATTCATTGCGTGCTTTTGCGCGGCGGCCCCAGATGAGCCAGATTCTAGGAGCTCTGTGTTCTGGGGGCAGGAGAGGGAGGGGGAACCTGGATGGCTGGGAATGAAACTCAGCCACAAAAAGGCAGAGCTCAGCTCCGGCTCGGGGGGGAGCCGCCTCCCAGCTCAGCAGGCAGCATAGACATTTTCCACCCCTTCTGCTTAGGCCCAGTGGGACGAAATCCCCATTTGTAGGGAGAGTTTGTTAGCAGCAGCTGCCACCAGCATGCTGTACGGGATCGCATAGCGAGCTAATTAATTGTATTTTATGGAAAACTCTTCTCTGGGGTCTCTATAGCGAGAGAGGGAGACAGACTTTTAATATCTGCTCTCCCCCAGACTCCCATCTGCTATGTGTGATTCCTCATCCCTAGAGGCTGTACAGCTTCCAATGCAAGTGAGGCTCCCACAGATCAAACAGCATCTGCCAGCCCCTTATTGATAAAACCGTCACTCCACTCTAGTGGCCTAGAACAGCAGCATTTACATACCAGGGAGCAGCTCCCCAGGAGAGGAAGCATGACTAGATCCCCCCTTGGGGACGGTCTCTGAGTGTGGATGGATTCCCCCTTTGCCAGCCAAACAGGGCTGTCTACCTAACAAATCCTTTTTTAAAAAGGGGAGAGCCTCTTCTGTAATCTCGCGATTTGGAGAGGTGCCCAGAAGGCAACCAAAGACCAAATGCAGCCTCTAAGAGGGAGAGGACAAAGCAGACAATCTTTTAGTGTACTGTTTGTCTAGAGGCCCCATTGTTCCAGGCACCATCCAAACACATAGGGAGAGAAAGTCCCTCAAAGAGATTACAGACAAGGCAGACAAAAGGTGGGAAGGGAAACAAATCAGAGGGGAATTAACTTGCCCAAGGTCACAGTGCCAGAAGTAAAATTCAGGGCTCCGGAGTGAGTTTTACTGCTGGTTAGGACAAGAAGCAAGCAATTGCTGTTCACCTACAGGGGGCTAAAAGAATGGAAAACCCTACGTGATCATTCAAGTGCACCTATCAGCTAGTGCGGGAAGATAAGTATAGGAGCAGACCTGAGGGGAGCACTTAGTTAATTGTTGGGGAATTGTAAAGTGTAGTCCAACACAGAAAAGTAACTATGCAAAAATGGCACCAAGACAGATCACTTGCATATTTAATCTGCAATCTTCAGGCTTCACTGTAAAATATTAATTCTCTTAGCTCTGCAAAATCCTCACAGCTCCAAGGGAGTAAGCAGGATTCTATTCTGATCCATGCATCGTCAACAGAATTGTTGCCCAAATTCCGGCCACAGAATCTTTGTTGCTAGAAACGGCTATTGTTACAGTGACCAAAACAGCAAGCTGGGAACTTTCTGATAAGGCAGAAAGAGCCCAGCTTAACTGGCAGATCCCAGGGTGAGGAGATGTGCATAGGGAAAATGCATCATTCTCCTTGTAAACTGAGCAGATTTGCTCCAGAAGCCAGAGAGAGAGAGAGAGAATCATACATACATGCCATTGTTATAGTCATTTTCCAGAGCAAGACAGCCCTAAGGAGTCTGGCAGTACACCAGACCTCCCCCAGCCAAAGAGAGTGGAATCTGGCCCTGATTCGGAGCCTGGGCCCTCGGAACAGAGATTTAACACCATCACCATCTTGTCTCTCTGGAATACCTTCCACTGAAAAACACCCGTGAACCAAGCCTCATGACAGCACTGCACTCGCTAAGTAATGCCACCGGTTAGCTGCCACACAGTGCTGCAGAAGGTTACCAAGCGGGGGCAGGGTTTGCCTCAGGGACAGACCTCACGAGTGACTGCTTGGGGCCACTGTGTTTAAGGGTATGTCTACACTGCACACTAAGACTGGATTCTGACTCAGATTTGAGCCAAGGCCTGCTTCTGTCCAGACACAAATCAGTCTGACTCAGGTCAGCAAGCACTCAGCACCCAGGTGGTCCTCTGATCCTGCTAGCAGGGAAGGGAAAGGAGGGCAGGAAGGGGGTCAGAGCCCGAGTCCCTGCTGTGACTCGGGTCCAAGCCTTGCCATTTTGCAGTGTGGTCGCAGCTCAAGCCGCAGAGCCAAGTCAGAAGGTCTGCACGGTGTAGCATGGAAGCGTTAGCATGGCTGGGAGACCCAGATCCCGCCAATGTAAACCCAGGTTTATAATGAAGCATGAACACTCAGGTGTGGACCCAAGTCCCACAGGCAAGGGATTAGTGCGCTGTGTAGACATATCTTAAGAATCTCCACAGTCCAGCACTGTTATCAGTTCATCTGCCCCTTCCACAGTCCATAAAGATGGCTGTGGAGGAGGAGCAGCAAGACAAACGCAAGAGGGCAGTTGAATGTTAATATTATACGTGTATGCTACGTTCGGGGTGGATTAAAGCATTAGAGGATCTTCAGGCAAACAGCTGGCAGTGGCCTGGTGCATAGCTGGTTGGTGCCAGCCTTCTGCAGGGAAGAGAATACATGCCATGGACGCAAAGTTCCCTTCCTCCCTCAGTCACCTCACCATGTGACGGGAGGGAAGGGCACAGGCACCAGATCTGTGCAGTCACTGACTGCTGGGGAGTTGGGAGGAGAAGCCCAGAGCTTTGGTGGGTTCAGTACAGTCTCAAGGCATCCAGGGTGCCTTATTAGCCAAGCAGCCTTACCTTCAACACAAAGGTGTTGTCTTTGTCCGGCATCTCCAAAGGCATGGTTGTCCGGACCTCAATGATGGCCGAGAGTGGGATGCTGACCTTAGGTTTGGAAACCTGGAAGAAATAAAAGGAATGAACAGTGCCTGTAGAACAGAAGTTCTCCCAATGGGCGATACAGCCCAGCTCACAGCAAGGCAAGCTCCCTCTCCAGTCTGTGCAGTTATTAAAAAAAAAAAAAAAACAATTTCCCTCATGCGCCTGATAACTCCAAGATCTTTTAATTAAGCCAAGAGACGCCCCGGTGGAAGATAGGAGAGTTAGCGTATTTCACTGCCAACCCGCTTGCTTATTTCAGTGCCTGCTGACATTCCAGCTCTGCCGACTACATTAATGTCTCTGGGGTTTTTTTTTTAATCTCTCTCTCTTTATTAAGATGCGCTGGGAGGAAATAATGCTATCTGATCAAGGAAATATTTAGCATGCACAAAAGGCAAGGGGAGGCAGAGCCAGGAAAGGGCAGACGGATGGGGGATGTGCCAGTTTATCTGGAAGAGAGAGAGGCATTTCAGTAGGTAAGTGAAGACACATCTGCTTTGTCTATTGTAGGGAATTTTGACAAAAAGTTTCCCACTGGGGTTGCCACCGGTTCAGCTGTACCAGTAAGAGCTTTAGTGTGGATGCAGCTTTTCAACACAGCGTGCCAGAGCCTCGACTGCACTAGGGTTGAGACCCTCCACTGCTGTCAACTGAGTTACCCTGATTCACCCCAACAAGAGGTTCCCGCCCCAGGGTACCCCCTGAAACAGCTGAACTTGCTGCAGCAGCAGTGGGAATCTGCTGCTAAAATTCTTTCATGTAGACGCAGTCACATCTTTCCTCACACCCATCCCCAGCAGCAGACTCCAGAGATGCGTTTACAAACCTCAGCAAGGCCAGTTTGTCCATGGGGGGAAGAGGGTGATTGGCAATTGAAGCTGTACATTTGTAGATACTCCAGATGTGCTAGGCTCTGTACAAATACAAAAGGCAGCACAGTCCCAGCCCCAAAGACTTTATAATCTAATCTCTCCATGCCTCTGTGTCCTTACCTGTAGAGTGGGGATAAAAATTTACACCAGTTCTACACCAGGAGTGCTTTGCATGTAGCTGTACTGGAATACTACGCTGGCAAAGCACTCCTGGTGTGGCTGTAACTTACACGGCCAAAGCTGCACTTTTGCTGGTCTTGCTTATTCCAGCCCCCTAGAGTAAAACAAGCTATACTGTATTTCTCCTCCATTTCCTGTTGTACAGCGCTATGTCCCAGTGTACTGTTGGGCAGCTCATGTGTTCCACCCCAGAAGCAGCTGTTTCCTATGTCTATAAAGAGCTCCGTGATGAAGGCTCTTTACTAAGCAGTGGAAGACACTTTCAAAGTGAACCTTCTCCTCCTGTCCCCACCACTGGAAGCCAAAGGCAAGAACAAGCGATTTCAGAGGCATAAATGCTGCTCTCTTTGGGCAATGGGATGGTCTCTATACACCGCTGCAGCCCTGGTAACAGACATGCAACCTGATGCATGCTAAGCACTTTGCACACTTAAGGGCAAGATAAATAATAAGCTGCTGGGTATCTCAGCTCCAGATTTGTGGTGTCTCCTTTTTAATAGGGAGAGGGAGCATGTATAAGGGTTAAGAGCAGACAATACGGTCAGGACTCCTGCGTTCTGTTCCCAGCTCTCCCAGTGATGCGCTGTCTGGCCTTGAACAAGTGACTTGACTGTGCCTCAGTTTCCTCCATCTCCTAAATACTTACCTTCCCCTCACAGGTGTATTATGGTTGGTTGTTGCCCTCCACCCTCGAGGTGGTTGAATTTCCACAGTGCTGTATGCTGAAGACAATTCAGTCCTGCTTCCACTGAAGTCTATTTCAAAGCTCCCAGTTCCCCTGTGGTACGGGAGTGGGCCTCAAGTCTGACTGTGCAAACACTTGCTACTGAGTGTAGTACTTACTCCCATGAAACCAATGGATGTGCGGCTACTAGTAGCAAGTGTTTGCAGGATTGGGCCCTAAATGTATACAACTCTTCGGAATGAAAGGTCCTATATAAACGCAACATGATTATTAGTAAAAGCTTGTCTAGTAGCACATTTGAGCAACAATCCCCAGATTTCTAGTAAATTGGCCCCTAGAATTATTACAGTTAGGGATTTGGAAGCAAGAGTTTCTCTTAACTAGACAGACAGACTGGCTAATCCTCCCTCAAGCTGTGCACTTGAATTCAAAGCAAGCATCTAGAAAAGGAATAGAAAGGCAACATAATCATCAGAAAACATGAGTTATCCCAAGTGCCTCCAGACCCTAGACGACAGAAACAGGCTCACAATGCGCATAATGCCACAGGTTTCAGAGTAGCAGCCGTGTTAGTCTGTATCCGCAAAAAGAACAGGAGTACTTGTGGCACCTTAGAGACTAACAAATTTATTTGTGCATAAGCTTTCATAAGCTACAAGTACTCCTTTTCTTCATAATGCCACAGGTTACTAATGAAGGGTTCTGTTCTCATTTTGTAAATCAGTGTTGCTGTGAAACAGGAACCAAGAGCTGCCTTTCCCTTCCCCTAAGATTTCGTTTAGCTGGGCCTGGGAGGTTCTGACCAAGTTACTGTCACTGCAAGACTCCAAATGAATGAAGGACCCTGATCTTTAGAAGTGCTGAGCACCCACAGAGCCAAGGACCACTGCACCAGCTCAGCGTCTCCCATAAACTGTCCTCTAATGCTTGTTTTGAAGCAATGAATTTGCAGAAGCTGCTGGGCTGGGGTTTTTTAAATTTTTGACCAGAGGCGGATCAGAAAAAGAGGAAGCAGCTGTTTAAAGGGAAGAAAATATGACACGAGCTCTGAGGGGTGGAAGGAAGAAGAGACTTGCTCTGACTCTTCTCAGGAACAGCAGACAAAAGAGCCAACAGAGGGAGTCTTCACCGAGTTCCCAGCCCTGCAAAAACACTGGCACATGTGAGTAGTCCCACAGAAGTCAATAGGACTCCCCAGGTCAGTAAAGTTACTCCCTGCTTAAGTGCTTGCAGGATCAGGCCCTACGCCTGAGCTGCGGTTTTAGGGCTTGCTCAGAGACTCATCACAGGAATAAATGGGGGCAGGCAATGGAGGTTTTTGTACTTTGAATCACCATCAAAACCGCTAGTATAACACCAAAAAGTAAGATGGACTGCTGCCAGGTACTTGAAGCACATTTAATTTCCCTTCATGTTTTCAATCACTGTTGCTTTGGGAAAATATACACACACCTAACTTTGTCAGAAAGTACAATATCCACGGGAGAGGGGTCTTTCTTTCTTTCTTTCTTTCTTTCTTTCTAAATGAAAACCCAGTTAGCCCCTATTTTTGTAGGACCCCCACAAAAACAAAGTAGTGTGCTCTTGTGCACTCTCAGAAGCAAAAGTTTAAGTTCTCATCCCACAAATGTACAAGAAAGCGAGGTTAACGCATCAGTGCCTCTCAAAGGGTTTGTTGGGAGTGGAAATACAGGAACATTTGACAAATGAAGACGATAGATATCATTAGGGAAAGAAATTTAAGCGAAAGTTTTCAGAAGGGTATAACGATAACAATAAAAGACAAGACTGTTTTCATAAAAAGCACTTAAAAGAGGTCCTTTTAACATTGATTTTTTTAAAAGGGGAGATAAAAACAAACCTGAAAAAATACCTATTTCCAGCTATAATATTGCTTAACAGCAGTTACTGCTCCAGCTAACCCTATGGCTGTATCAATCTGTGCATAGACTCACAAGCACTGCTCCCAGATGAGCCAATGCCAGCTACGCATCTTTCATGCCCTAACTGCTAGTGCAGAAAGAGACTCTGGGGCAGAGGGTAGGGAGCTGGGGATGGGGAGGAAGGTAATGCAGTTAAAAATAAATAAATAAATAAACAAACAAACCAACCCGCTCACTCGGTCTCCAGTTCTCTAGGGGACATTAGAAAGGTTAGAAGTCAGTGAATGGAAACCAGATATTTCACATGTTTGATGACACCCAGAATTCAGACACTATAAATGGTTTCACCCTAATGGCTTTTCCATGTGTTCTGATCCGGTATCTACATGGGGGTTTTTCCTCCAGCTCCATTTCAGGTTAATACACTGTGAGGAACAGTTTATATTGGACTCAAATATCTTCCTAAAGGGTGTATATTTCTCTCGCAACACACACACACACATACACACACAATTTTTATTGAATGTAAACATTCCTCTGCCAAGTTGTAAGCCCAAGTACAACAAGAGTAAGGACCTGATTTGCAGTCCATTTCAGATCAGTGGCTTTGAATCAGGGACTTAGTGTAGAAAATGACTCGTGAACGGGATTAGCCCTGTTCCACTGTGGAAGATGAATGAAACACAAAAACCAACAACATAAATGGCACAAAGTAAATTATCTATATTTAGTAACCTCAGATTTAATTAGTAATGACTACCTCATCTGCATAATTTATCTACTTGGAAGCATTAGTTAATGTTTCTACAGTGCTTTGAAGAGAAAAAGTGCAACGTGCATGCCAAGTAAAATTAATGTATCTCCACAGGTAAGAACTTAATTTTAAATGCAGGGTATGCTTTTTTTTCATCTCAGCAGGAAGGGTGGTCCAGCAGCCGGGGCACTAGCCTGAGACTTGAGACACCCAAGGTCAATTCCCTGCTCTTTCATGGTCTCCTTGTGTGACCTTGGGCAAGACACTTAGCCTCTCCCACGCCTCAGTTTCCCATCTGTACAATGGAGGATAATTGCACTTCCCAGCCTTACAGGGGTGCTGTGAGGGTATACACATTAAAGACAGCGAGGGGCCCAGATACTGTAATGGTGGGGACCATATGGGGCCATTCCATAATGAGGATCATTCAGTCTCTGTGTTTCAGTGTCCCCAACTCTAAAGTTGGGATAATAATTCTCTGCCACATGTTTGTGAGATGCTCAGGTACTTGACAGTAAAGAGGGACATGCAGGTAGGTAGATAGATAGATATTAAATTGCATAATGAATCTACAGTAGTTGGTTCCTTTTTCCGAAGCTTTCTTTAGGACCCTGTGGAAGGAAAAGAGTGCAGGGAAGAAAGAGATAAATAAATAAATGTTCAGGAAGGTAAGTAACTGAGAAGATCATTTGGGAAGGTGTGCTACGAAAGAGGAAACAGGAACAATATTTACTATATGGGCTAGAATGCTCCTGGCAGAGGACACTGAAGTCTTTCTTCTCTCTCATTGAAATGTTATTGGGGGGTGTGGGGTGTGGGTGTGAGAGCAAGCCTAAATGCCAGAGAAAGATTCATCACCTTACATTTCTTTAGCTCCATTCATCCCACTGGATGCAACAGCACTTTACAGACTTACCCACTGCTCCACAAACTACACACAAGAACCACTTCATCCACCTCTGAACGCAGCCAGTGCTGGAATGAAACACTGCAGCTGTTTAACAGCGCACAGGAACACGGCACACTTTTCCGGCTGAAAACTCCCCGGCAGTTAGGTAAGCAGAACAGAAAGTTGGATTTGCTTAGGACATTGGAGGCAGCATAATTATTGCTGCAAAGTGCCCTGGACCGTTAGTAATCAAATGTGTTTAGGACCTTGGCTTTGCTTCTCACCTGAAAGAGAGCGCCTCCAGCAGCAGTCTCTTAAAGCCGTCCTGGGGTATTGAGCCAGCACTGATTCAGGGGTGAGGGAGGAAGGAGTGCCACCTACCGACTTATCACTACCTGCCTGACCTGCGGGACCCTTACAAGTCTCCAATGGCCAAGGCAGCTACTGGCTATGTGCTGAAACTCTCTCTCTTCAGGATGTCGTCACTGACAATTGCCCATGGAAGCTGGGCTTGATTAGGCAAAACTAGGGAAGGTTTGGACTGGATTCCATTTAATCAAAGCCACCAAATTTCTCAGATAAAGATGTCTGAGCATACCTCAAAGGATCACAGTAGAGAAGCTACAGAAAAGGCTGAAGCAGCTACTCAGTTCTACACCCCTCACAACGTTCCCAATGTGGTTTCCTATGCATGAGCAGAGGTTCAATTTTGATTAAACTAAAAAACGGTCAGGAATTGAGGTTCCAATTTTAGCCCATCTCTAGGCGAAATCTACTATCCTGAGGGCAGGATGGGCAGGAAAGGGGGCATGGCTGGAGTTCTTTATCCCCTGTCACAGTTACCTAGCGGTACAGAGAAACCGAACCTGTCAAAAACATGGGTGTGGGGTTCACAAGTTGCCTTCCTATCTGGAGGTGGGAAGGGCTAGTCCTGGCTCTGTACTGTGTACGTCTGAAGCGTGAGTGACAGTGCTAATGGGCCGAGAGAACTCAAGACTGCTCAGGCCCATCACAATCTATTTTTACATCCCTGACATCCAGTTGGTGACTGGTCAGTGCAGCTCAGTGAGCAGCACCTGACAGAACCCTCATTAGCCTCGCAGCTAACGAACAGGGAGATGTGGAGATGTTTCCGCAGCAGAAATGAAAGGTTAGAGGAGGTTCCTATACGTTGCAGGTTAACTGCTACTAGAAAGCAGTTCACTGGTGTATTGGGACAGCTCCTGGCTTCAGTCTCCTGCCAGGTGAACACCGGGATCCGAGTTCGCCCAAACGCCGGGCTGACTAACAGACTGCCCACATGGCTGATACAAGAGAAGAAATAGCAAGAGGATAGAAAGCTAGAGCGAGTCACGGACGCTTTGTTCCTAACACATAAGAGCGCAAATTACAGGGCCCTCTCGGTACCTGATCGACAGAGGATACGAGGCTTTTACACCCCAGATTGTAGCACTGGCTCTTTAGCTCAAGAAAGAACAGCTCATGCTTTTAGCTCTGGACGTCCCAGGCTCAATCTTCAATGTCAGCCAAGATGGCAGTGATCACAACAGCAAAGATGACATGTCTGGGCTCATCACCACCAGAAAAAGAAAAAATACTGCATTATATTTTTCGCATGATAGCACCAGGAATAACTCAGCTTGCTCTTGCCAGTGTAGACAGGAACCAATCCACATTACAGAGTCATGTTACACCCCTGTAACAGGATTACCAGTCTGATCCCCATCTACATGAGGCAACAAAAGCCAAGCTTTAAGCGTGGCTGATTGGGGTACAAATCATGTGTATTACATGAATCCCAAGACAGGGTCGCTAGGCGGGTGCAGATGGATGCCTTCAGTGCTTCTTGCTATTTGAAATCAGACCCTGTCCCTAAAATCCAGACAAAGTAGCACTCAAACAGGAATGATTGAGTCCCTGAGGGACTGGATGGCTTGGGGAGGGGAACTGGTAAGGAAGCTGGTGACAGAGCAATTGGGGCCAGGTCACCCAACTCCCAGGCTAGAACCCTAACTACTAGGCCATCCTTTCTTAGTGATGGATTTGGGAAGCGTCACTATCAAAAAAGGCTCGCTGACAGCCTCAGTAGCTGTGCCTGCCTCAACTGGCCCTTTTGCTTTCAGTCTTAACTTAGAGGCCAGTGACTGAACAGATTAACATTAGGAAAAACTTCCTAACAGTCAGGGTGGTGAAGCACTGGAATAAATCACCTAGGGAGGTTGTGGGTCTCCATCATTGGAGATTTTTAAGAGGAGGTTAGACAAACACCTGTCAGGGACGGTCTAGATAATACTTAGTCCTGCCTTGAGCGCAGGGGACTGGACTAGAGGACCTCTTGAGGTCCCTTCCAGTTCTATGATTCTATGATTGGGGATACTAAATTCCTCTTTCACCCCTAGGAGGTGGATCGTCCAGTTCTGGGGTGAGACACATTGGTAGTGGGAAAAAAACCCTCCAATCCCTATTCAAATCTAGTTCAAAGACCTATAAGATAGATAACGAACTAGGAGCACTGGGCATCAGGAAGTCTGAGCGGACAGTAACACTGTTTGTCAGAAACTTCGTGGAGTTTGGCACAGACAAAATAAGCAAAACCACTGAATTATACTTCATCCCATAGAGTGGATTAAGACCAGGAGGTGGAGGATTAAAATAGACCATCTGAAACAATAGAGGAGCAACACCCATCACCGGGAAGCAGTACACCAGCCCAGCAGAGAGCTGTAAAACTGCCACGGCCATCTGGAGCTCTGATGAAGCGCAGCTTGGAGACGTGTCAGCTGGGATCTATGGCTTCTCGGGGCGAGGAGCGTCACATCTATAAACTCTGCAGCCTGCAGCCAAGCAAGTCAATATAGATAGGAAGCTCAGCCATGAAGAGCCTACAAGACCTACCTTTGGTGGCACATAAAACTCCAGCAGGAACCTCTCCCCCTCCATCTTAACAGCCTTCCTGAGCATCAGCCGACATTTCTGCCACTGAGAGCTACCCACGCAGTTCGTGTCATCCGCCACCATGTAGCGGAGGGTGCCCTCCCTCTGAATATCCACCAGTTCCACCTTGGAAGACTGGACTTTTGACAGCCGCAGCTTGTGAGTCCATCTCTCCCTCGTGTCATTGTGTTCCTTGATCACAGAGGGACAGTGCTCTCTCTCTGACCTCCTGCCTCCCTGCATGGCCTCCACACCTGGCTCCGGAGAGGACTTCCTGTGCCACATCTCCTTCATGCCATCCACCACACACAGGCTCATATTCCTCAAGGAGAAACCTTTCTTGAATTTCGGCTTGGAAGTAGCATGGACAGAGACGTCCTCTGAACTCCGAGAGTGGCCGTAGGAAGAAACTTTATGAGCCTGAGTCTGCTGGGACTGGCTCAGATATCGGCTGGAATTCACAGGGTTGTCCATGCTGTCCAGGGATTCTGTGGAGGTCTCCTCTTTCCTCTGGAGGATGTCTCGGCCGTAAGGCATGTGGCAGTTCTGTAGCCCCACAAAGGGCACTATGTTGTACGTGGCTGGGGAGTCGGACACGAACACTCTACTGACCTCCAAGCTGAAGATGTCCAAGAAATTGGCAGCAAAGTGATGGGAGAAGGAGGTTTCAGCCCCCGGGGTATCGTAATGGGGGTTCTCCCTCAGGAACTGGCAGAACTTCTGAGCAAAGTCCACCGCAGCAGCCTGGGCATGGAGCTCACAGAATTCCCTCCAGTCGGGAAGCTGGGAGGAAGACTCTTGGCAAAGGGCATCACCATTCATGACTGTCCCATTCCACCTGCCAGCAAACTGCAAAGGCAAATCAAAGAGAAGGTTAATGACAGTTCAGATAAGGAATTCCAAACACAAACACACACACACACACCACTGCAGAACTATCCATGACCAAGGGAATCCACAAGAAAAACAAGGACAATTGATGGTATGTTAACGTTTTAAACAGCTGCAGTCACACATTCCACCATGTCTAAAAAGCATGCAAAACTATGGTTAGTGCAACCTTATTTCTGCCTCTATGATCACATCACTTCAGACTCTAGCCCTAAGATGTTCCATGTCTTAAGACCACTGACTAATGGCTATGATCCCCAAGGATCCCACGGGGCCTTGCAGGGTGGTGGGATAGTGGGAATCAGGTTCTAGAACATTGGTATCTTAGTTAGCACATCCTGTTTCACATCTGGGTGCTCTCATCAGCATTTTCACAGCTAAGATACCAATATGAACACCCAAAATACGGAACTGGATGCCTTAAATTAGAGGCCTACAGTTGAAAACCAGGCCTTGTATATATCATCTGCACCATGATGACCTCACTCACTACTGAAACGCATCCACCTCTGGAGCAGAACATATCCACCATTTAACAGCAAATTACAACACTTCCCTTCAGGGCAGAAAGAGAAGAATACTGTGTCCAACTGAAGCTACAAGAGAGACTTTTTTGGTAAGCAAAATGTAAATACCAAATACAAATTTGGCTAGGACACAATGATCAACAGTCTAGTCTTTTAAAAGAAGAGTGCTACCATTCCGCAATGACAGATGGTGCTCTCAGCATCATGACTGGGACAGAGACAAGTACGGACTCAGAAGGAAGAGTGTCGTCTACAGAATCACCAACATCGCTTCCTGTGGTGCAAAGTTTTTCCATAGACGTGTCTTATCAGCACGCGAACCCAGACCCTGCCCTGTGTATCGTATGAGAGCAGACAGAGTCCCAGCCAGGTGCAGCAGGGCTAGGCAGACACCACCAACCACATGGGGGAAAAGAAAAAATCACAAAATAGCTGCTTGGAGTTCAGAGGAATAAGTCAAAGTTAGGGCATACATAGAGAGCTAGCTATGCACAACCTGCCTCCGGAGCCACACAGTGAACGAGGAAACAGGAAATTCCATCCATTCAGAGTTCTATTCTATTCTATATTTTTACACTATCGTACGAGTGCCTTCCAGTAGTGCTTTCAGTAACACGGCCACACACCTGTCACACGTTTGTTCTCTTATCCTCTCCCCAGAGGGAGAAGTGCATGGAGTGGAGTGCCTTATTTTGGGAGAGCTCTCCTGCAATGCTGTTAATCCCTGCTCCTTGGAAAAGAAAGTATTTCGGGAGATGGCATCTTTTACAGATGGAGTCAGTGGACGACGACAGGAGCTGGGAGGGTCTCATCCAAGTGACAAGGGAAACCCCACATCGGTTAATTCAGGCACAGCTGCAAAAGCATAAAAAGCCAGCCTTTGCTTTCACTTCTGTGCTGGAATAAGTTAAAGGACTCTGCTGACATAACCAGCCTCTGCTATTGCTGAAGCTGGAGGTGGAGTGATACCAATCCACGTGCATGGCCTGCCGCCTGCGGGAGTCATTCATCTTCTCAGGAGCACACCTGGACCTGATATGCCCCACTAAGTATTAAATCCTAGCTGGAAATGACCATGCTCGTCTGCTCCTGAAGTTACACCAAGCACTGAGAGGGGCTGCTGTAGTGGTTTCAGTTCCCTCACACGCTCACCCTCTCATCTTGGATTGGGTGTCAAGGGGGCAATACCGTGAGCAAGGTTAGAGCAATTAACATGAAGAATTGCTCATAGGGCCAGCAAATGAATCCAGCTAACGGACCATTGTAACTGCCTTTTGCAGCCATCCATCATGTATCTAACTACACAGATCCCTCCTGTTGCGAGATATGACCTGACTTGCATAACCCATCAACACTGCACAAATGTACAACCCCATCTGTTTTTATCTGTAGTACAGTAGATTCATAGACTTTAAGGTCAGAAAGGACCATCGTGATCATCCAGTCTGATCTCCTGCCCATTGCAGGTCACAGAACTTCATCCACTCCTGAAATAGACCCCTAACCTCTGGCTGAGTTACTGCAGTCCTCAAATCATGGTTTAAAGACTAGAGGCCCTAGCTGAGATCACCAGCCCCAGCATGCCGGGCGCTATACATACCCAATCCCCAAAGAGCTCACACACTAAACAGACAAGACAGATAAAGGATGGGAAGGGAAACAAGTGTGCAGCTCACACTTCATTGCTGGGTTCATTAAGCCAGGAGCTCTCTAACTTTTGGCAGACCGTACCTTAAAAGGAAGAGCGTGTGCCTCCAGATTGGCCTCCCCTCCCATTCAGGATCCTGCCGTCCCGCCTCCTCTCCCATTCACAATTGCCTGACAGCTCTGATGTAGCTACTCGCAGAGGCTGCCATTGAAGAATAGCATCAGGAAAGGATGTGATATTTTTAGCTGCTGTTCAGTGCAATTCAGCAGCTGAAGCGAGGAGGAGCCAGCCAGCCCTATATGGTCAGCAGGTTCGATGCAAACTGCCAGCACTTGTTTTGTTGAACTCTACTCTACAGGCCAGTGCTGGTCAAGAACCTCAGGGTCAGGTCACTGTCTGTCTGCAGGTGGGACTAGAGGGGACTGGTCCTTACCACATACGCTCCAGTGCCTGGGCAGCTCACCCCGGTTTCTAGCTCTGCCCTGGGGAAAGCATTTCACAAGCTAATAAGCTGAATCGCCTGGTGAGGAGAAAAAAGAAAAAAAAAAGTAAAACACATCTGTTTTGTCCTCAGTGCCACCCCATTACTCACACTTTCTGCGAAGGCACATTTATAGCAAATAAAGGTTAATAAATGCTGAAGAGGTGTTCTATAGTGTTATGGGCATGAGGAGTTCATCCTAGTGACAGAGGATGTGGAAAAAGCTAATGTACTCAATGCTTTTTTTTGCCTCTGTCTTCATGAACAAGGTCAGCTCCCAGATTGCTGCACTGGGCAGCAGAGCATGGGGAGGAGGTGACCAGCCCTCTGTGGAGAAAGAAGTGGTTCGGGACTATTTAGAAAAGCTGGAAGAGCACAAGTCCATGGGGCCGGATGCGCTGCATCCGAGAGTGCTAAAGGAGTTGGCAGATGTGATTGCAGAGCCATTGGCCGTTATCTTTGAAAACTCATGGTGACCGGGGGAGGTCCTGGACGACTGGGAAAAGGCTAATGTAGTGCCCCTCTTTATAAAAGGGAAGCAGGAGGATCCTGGGAACTACAGGCCAGTCAGCCTCACCTCAGTCCCTGGAAAAATCATGGAGCAGGTCCTCAAGGAATCAATTCTGAAGCACTTAGAGGAGAGGAAAGTGATCAGGAACAGTCAGCATGGATTCACCAAGGGCAAGTTGTGCCTGACTAATCTAATTGCCTTCTATGATGAGATAACTGGCTCTGTGGATGAGGGGAAAGTGGTGGACGTGTTGTTCCTTGACTTTAGCAAAGCTTTTGACACCGTCTCCCACAGTATTCTTGCCAGCAAGTTAAAGAAATATGGGCTGGATAAATGGACTATAAGGTGGATAGAAAGTTGGCTAGATTGTCGGGCTCAACAGGTAGTGATCAATGGCTCCCTGTCTAGTTGGCAGCTGGTATCAAGTGGAGTGCCCCAAGGGTCGGTCCTCAGGCCAGTTTTGTTCAATATCTTCATAAATGATCTGGAGGATGGTGTGGATTGCACCCTCAGCAAGTTTGCAGATGACACTAAACTGAGAAGAGAGGTAGATATGCTGGAGGGTAGGGATAGGATATAGAGGGTCCTAGACAAATTAGAGGATTGGGCCAAAAGAAATCTGATGAGGTTCAACAAGGACAAGTGCAGAGTCCTGCACTTAGGACGGAAGAATCCCATGCACCGCTACAGACTAGGGACCGAATGGCTTGGCAGCAGTTCTGCAGAAAAGGACCTAAGGGTTACAGTGGACGAGACGCTGGATATGAGTCAACAGTGTGCCCTTGTTGCCAAGAAGGCCAATGGCATTTTGGGATGTATATGTAGGGGCATTGCCAGCAGATCGAGGGACGTGATCGTTCCCCTCTATTCGACACTGGTGAGGCCTCATCTGGAGTACTGTGTCCAGTTTTGGGCCCCACACTACAAGAAGGATGTGGAAAAATTGGAAAGAGTCCAGCGGAGGGCAACAAAAATGATTAGGGGACTGGAACACATGACTTCTGAGGAGAGGCTGAGGGAACTGGGATTGTTTAGTCTGCGGAAGAGAAGAATGAGGGGGGATCTGATAGCTGCTTTCAACTACCTGAAAGGGGGTTCCAAAGAGGATGGCTCTAGACTGTTCTCAGTGGTAGCAGATGACAGAACAAGGAGTAGTGGTCTCAAGTTACAGTGGGGGAGGTTTAGGTTGGATTTAGGAAAAACTTTTTCACTACGAGGGTAGTGAAACACTGGAATGCGTTACCCAGGGAGGTGGTGGAATCTCCTTCCTTAGATATTTTTAAGGTCAGGCTTGACAAAGCCCTGGCTGGGATGATTTAGTTGGGGATTGGTCCTGCTTTGAGCAGGGGGTTGGACTAGATGACCTCCTAAGGTCCCTTCCAACCCTGATATTCTATGATTCTATAGGTGGTTGTAAGCAGAGCAGTAGAAGGTATAACCATGGCTTACAGCCCTCTATAATAAGGACACTACTGGACTCTAACAGTTGCTTAGCCATTTATTGGAACATCTATGGATGATTCTTAACCTTTTAAACGCTCTGGCCACACATCCACGGAGTAGAAAGTGTGATCGCTTTTATTTACTGTTGCTTGGACCACAGAGGCTGGGTGGAAAACAGTGAACTTGAAAGTAAAACCACTTTCCCCAGGGGAAGTGCAGGGTCCTTTCGAAATCCCTTGTGGGACCAAGTCTGGAGCAGAGACAGAAGCTCATGAGCGTCAGCCTCTGAACATGCTTCTGCTTGGGCCAGAGACAACCTTCCAAGCCGACACAGGAAGAGGAAAGGCA